CTGAGCAAACACCATTCACNGGAGCAGAAGAGCAGCCCAGGGCTGGGGAGGGTTGGAGGAGCTGGAGACATTGCTGAGCAAACACCATTCACTGTGCACACTNGAGTGAGGCTGTGAATGCAGACAGGCTGGCTCCGGGGCCAGAGCTTAATCACTCCAGAGAGCAAAAGAGAGTTCAAGGAGCAGAAGAGCAGCCCAGGGCTGGGGAGGGTTGGAGGAGCTGGAGACACTGCTGAGCAAACACCATTCACTGTAGGAGACTTGCCTGGAGCCAACATGCCTTATAAAAAGGCCTCCCCACCCTGTACTTCTGGCCACAAGAGTCACAGTATAAACATTTGGAAAGGGGGACATGATTTATAGCTGAGGCACTGAGTGAAGACCTTTACATGGCCAAGTACACCATGAACTCTTGATGTTCTTCTTGGAATCGCACCCACATGGAGAAGGTGCGGTTTGGCTGGGCATTGACAGTGTGTCCAGCTCACACATACGGGACAAGGCAAAGCCAAGGCCTGACTGAAAGGACTGCTAAGGATCCAGTGAACTGCTTTTAGATTCAGTTTATCACTTATGCAGACAACAAAGAGATGCCAGGTCCCTGTCATCTTCGTCTCACACATCAGAAAGGATGACACCCAACAAGAGGGACTGGATGACTGCAGGCCAGTTGTCGGGCACCCTCTTGCTGAGGAGCCAATTCTAGTGGACAGCTAGGAGGTTTTAGCTTTTTATCCTGCTGCTCTGTCCTGAGGGGGGAGGGCAGGGGGCCCCTCACCTCAGAGAACCTGGGAGGCAATGAGGAACATCTATGACAGCCTCCCGGGGAAGATGGGAAGGAGAGTGGGAGGTGGCTCAGAGCAGCTCCTTCAGGCCTCCCATCTCGTGTTCCAGGAGTATCACAAGGTGTCCCCTACGTCTCAGAGAAGCCATGGTTCCACCCTTTGCCTGTGTGGATCTCTGCAAGGTTGCCAGGGCACGTGGAGAAATCATCCCGTACAAAGGGCGGTGGAAGGCAGGACTCAGGACAGGACCGTGGCGTGGAGAATGCTCGCGGTGCACTGAAGAGCTGTCCTCCACGAGGCTTGACATCTTGCTGGAAGTAAGGTGTGGCAGGGCTGTCCTGACCCCCTAAAAAGGCAGCGACAATAGCTGTGAACATGAGAGTGGCCATGGGTTGGCAGCATGTGGTTATCTGGGCCCAGAGTCCAGGTCACTGAAAGGCCTTCCTGCCTCCCTCACACTAATTTGCTATATAAACTCCTATGACCAGGTTCCCCTGCCGAAGAACCCATATTTGTCACTATTGATCAAGTCTTGCCAGATCAAACTCAGACAGAGTTTAGTTTTCTGTAGCAATTCTTTCTCACCAAACTCATCTGACACAACTCATTAATTGTTTGATTGTAAACCAAACACTTGTTTGACATCTGCTGCGGTCAGACGCAGTGAATGAACAGCGCCGGGCACAGAAAGATGAAAGACACACTGTCCACACATCTTTCTTTTCAGCCCACCTGATTGTCCCAAATTGTTTTCTAAAATAAAACATGGCAGATTCTAGTTTTAGTTCTTACTTTCTATGCTTATCCAAATTTTTGAATGCAAGAACCACTTGAAATTCATGAAGCCTTCATAGGAAAGCCAAGCCTGGACAGCAATTCGGTAGGTCTTATTTTTCTGATGTTCCCTAGATTTTGCTTCAGTTGGGTCTTGGTCATTTTTCTGTGTTAAATCCTCCTGTGCTCACCTTCCATTTGGATTTCTCTGCAGTGCCTAGAGAAAAGGCTAAACGTTACCCTCAAGTGAAAATGGACTGATTTGCTTGCACTAAATAGGAAGCGATCAATATGGAAAGCAGCCAGGAACAGATAGTTCAGTTCGGTTTTCTCAAGCTCTGTGAAGGAGATATACTGAGCTGTGGCCTTTGATTATATGTTACATGCTCGTGTTTTTAAAGACAAATTTTAAGACTATTTCCCCCCTTTTATATAGGCTTACGTTTAGGTCACTTTTGACCATCCAATTTGCAGCAAGTAAAGAGTAGACCAGGCTCTCGTTTGATGTTTCCAATGGCTTGTCTCCTTTCAGCTAGAAGAAGGGTGTTCGATGAAATCTCAGGCTGAGTCTTGTCTTTGTCTTGATCAGTGTCTTGTGTCTACATTCAGGTGACTTCTTTATAATTGTCATTCCTCTAACAGAGGAAAAAATAAGGCTTACCGAATTGCTTCTACCAGTTTTCTTTAGTTAAAATGAGGCAAGATTCACACCTGATTTGGTGCTTCTGTATTCCAGAATCTGCCACAGAGCCAGGTGCACCAAACGTGCCCAACAAACAGTCGTTGAATGGGATGGCTAATTGAATTTCTACTCCCGATTATAAATTTAACCTCCAAAAGAAACCTTTCAAAAAGCACATACAAAATTAATTCAGAATCACTGACGTTAATTTCTTTTTTCTTTCATTTGTCTTCATGAATTTATTCGTTTCACAAATGCTTACTGGAAATGCATGTTAATTAAGTATTTAAAGGTAAAGAAATACAAATCAGAAAAGAAAGGGCTAAAATTCTGGCCGTGTTATTTGTTGTCTAAGTGACCTTGGCATTAATTCATTGCTTCCAGCTTCAGACTATCATTTACAAAATGGGATAAAAGCTCTTAGCATCAATGGTTTTATGAGAATGAAAACGGATACCCTAAGCAAGTGCAGTGCCTGTCACTGATTAGTGGCTCCTAATAATATTATCAAGTGTGTAGGATCCAAAGATGAACAAGACAAATCCTCTCAAGATGTTTACAAATTAGTCCTGGGAAAGAACACATTCGTTCAAATAATTATGCAGCAAAGAGAGAAAGCATCAGTGCAAGAAAAAGCTAGATGGTTGTCTTAAAATATGTTTTATTATTATTCAGGCTAACAGACCAGGGGGTGACTGCCATTGAAAAATTTGTTAAAATCGCAGAGCCCAAGAAAAGGAGGCCTGCTGTTAATGTCCCCAGTTTTAGAAATGTCTAATCCAAGACTACAAAGAGTAAATATTGAATCCCAGGTTTTTAACAAGGCATTTTGATTTTAGATCCTGAGCCCATTTTTCTAGACTGCACACCTGGGGCTCCCCAAAACAACCGGGAGGCCCTAGACAAGGTCAGAGTTCTTGCCAGAGTAGATGTGTGAGTGGGGACCGGGTGGGCGGAGGTGAATTCTAGAGAAACATGGCACTAGATGCCATGAAGCTGAGTCTGTATTGCACCAGGGCTGATGGCACCTCCAGATGGCTTCCCCACTGGGTCGCTCACTGGGTAATGTGATTGTCCAAACTTTAAATAAGTAGAAAGCTGGAGGAATGCCACAGAACTTCTGCTCTCTTCATCAAACCTTCCTTCTTTTTCTTTATTCTTCCAGGAGGACCCTGCGAGCCCCTTGCCTCCCCCTGGCATCTCTGTTCTGTTTTGCAAGGCCTTGTGCAAGAGGCCCTTGAGACTGCTCTAAATTACAGCTTTGTTTCTGGTGGGAACGTGAGGGAAGGCGGAAAAACCTCCGATTTGTTTAAGGATCAAACATGACCTTCACGCTCTCCGCTGCGGGGAGTCAAGTGGCGGCGGCTGCCGTGGGGGCCCCCGGCAGGTGCATAAATACATGTGCCGAGCGCGACCCTGGCTCGGAGACTCACTTTCTAACGTCCAGGCAAAGAGCACAGACATCCTGCCATGAAACTGGTCAGCGTGTTCCTGCTGGTGGCCGTCGGCATTTGCAGTTACTCTGGTAAGCAGCCTGCAACGCATGACACTTCTCTCCCATTCTGTTAACAGGAGCACCAGTGGTCAGCGGAGGCTCCCAGGGAACGTGGTGGCGGGAGTGTCAGAGCCACAGGATGGTGAGGTTGGGGGGCATCTCAGACGTACCCCACTGAACCCCCTCCCTGATCCAAGCCCTAACCCCGCACCCCTAGTTCATCCTACACAGGAGCCAATCAGCTCCCACGGAGGGGCAACAAAGGGTTTCATNCACTGATTAGTGGCTCCTAATAATATTATCAAGTGTGTAGGATCCAAAGATGAACAAGACAAATCCTCTCAAGATGTTTACAAATTAGTCCTGGGAAAGAACACATTTGTTCAAATAATTATGCAGCAAAGAGAGAAAGCATCAGTGCAAGAAAAAGCTAGATGGTTGTCTTAAAATATGTTTTATTATTATTCAGGCTAACAGACCAGGGGGTGACTGCCATTGAAAAATTTGTTAAAATCGCAGAGCCCAAGAAAAGGAGGCCTGCTGTTAATGTCCCCAGTTTTAGAAATGTCTAATCCAAGACTACAAAGAGTAAATATTGAATCCCAGGTTTTTAACAAGGCATTTTGATTTTAGATCCTGAGCCCATTTTTCTAGACTGCACACCTGGGGCTCCCCAAAACAACCGGGAGGCCCTAGACAAGGTCAGAGTTCTTGCCAGAGTAGATGTGTGAGTGGGGACCGGGTGGGCGGAGGTGAATTCTAGAGAAACATGGCACTAGATGCCATGAAGCTGAGTCTGTATTGCACCAGGGCTGATGGCACCTCCAGATGGCTTCCCCACTGGGTCGCTCACTGGGTAATGTGATTGTCCAAACTTTAAATAAGTAGAAAGCTGGAGGAATGCCACAGAACTTCTGCTCTCTTCATCAAACCTTCCTTCTTTTTCTTTATTCTTCCAGGAGGACCCTGCGAGCCCCTTGCCTCCCCCTGGCATCTCTGTTCTGTTTTGCAAGGCCTTGTGCAAGAGGCCCTTGAGACTGCTCTAAATTACAGCTTTGTTTCTGGTGGGAACGTGAGGGAAGGCGGAAAAACCTCCGATTTGTTTAAGGATCAAACATGACCTTCACGCTCTCCGCTGCGGGGAGTCAAGTGGCGGCGGCTGCCGTGGGGGCCCCCGGCAGGTGCATAAATACATGTGCCGAGCGCGACCCTGGCTCGGAGACTCACTTTCTAACGTCCAGGCAAAGAGCACAGACATCCTGCCATGAAACTGGTCAGCGTGTTCCTGCTGGTGGCCGTCGGCATTTGCAGTTACTCTGGTAAGCAGCCTGCAACGCATGACACTTCTCTCCCATTCTGTTAACAGGAGCACCAGTGGTCAGCGGAGGCTCCCAGGGAACGTGGTGGCGGGAGTGTCAGAGCCACAGGATGGTGAGGTTGGGGGGCATCTCAGACGTACCCCACTGAACCCCCTCCCTGATCCAAGCCCTAACCCCGCACCCCTAGTTCATCCTACACAGGAGCCAATCAGCTCCCACGGAGGGGCAACAAAGGGTTTCATTGTTGAACGCTGGTCTCCATAGTTTTCCTTCTCTTCTGTAATCTTTAGTCAAAGCCTCATGTGGCGGCTCCTGCCTTTTATGCTTTTGAAACCCTGTGGAGCCATGCTTGCCGTCACCTGTCATCGGTCGGGCTGGCAGCCCGGCTCTCCTGAGGCAGAGCCGCATTTCCCTGCTCACGCGCTCAGTGGACAGCTAGCCAACGGCTACGGCCTGCTGGGCCCTGGGTCAGCCCTGGGACACTCAACGTGCAGAAATGCTGTTCCCAGGTGCCCGCAGCGTGGCGGGGCTAGGACGTCGGCCAGAGTCAGTACAACTGTGTTCAGCTGGGGCGCTGGGACCGCTGAGGGCAAACTGTTGGATGTCCGGGGCGGGTACAGAAGCTGGCTTCTTGGAGGACAGTGGGAGCTGACCCATTCTTTTTGGAGGGAGTCATTTCACTCTCAGAAAGATAGATCTGGGTGTACCCGAAAAGCGCGTGGCGATGGCCACTGCTCATTCCGAGGGCAGAAAGCTTCGCAGAGCCTTCCCCTAGAAGTGCGTCAGCACAGACAGAGGGGACACCGAAGTCTTTAAAATGAGAAGTGGGGGGATCGATCAGGAGATGCTAGGTGCTGCGACTTTGTCTTGTGTTTACATAGAATTTTTGACAAATTTGTAGCTTCATCAGTTTCAGCTATTTTGTGGTTCTTCGGTGTCCAGGGACAAACATCTGTTGGCAGAGGTGACGGCTGAAAGGTGGGTGGCGGGAAATAAACATTGTCCCCCTGGGAGAGAGTTTGGAGGGCAAGTAGGTGACAGGAGATGAAGGTGAGACAGGTGAACAGACTCAATTTTTACAATTTGAAGGGGGAACTGAAAAGGGTCAGGAGGAAAATAAACTATGGCAGGGTCTTAGCCAGCAGGAGGATATGCCGTAGGTATTCCTACGTATGTGATCATGCACATGTGTGTTTACATATCTGCACACGTTTTATAAAAATGAGTCATACATATTTTTCCATTCTTTAGACTTTTCTGCTGATTCATTTACTATGTGAAAGTTACCTCTCTGAAACGGAAGATCTAAAATGCAGTTGTCTCATATAATTACCTTGATAGCTTCCCATCGCCCTTAGGAAAAAACCCCTGAAACTCACTAGTATGTCATTCAAGGCTTAGAGAAACCTGACCTCGCCTAAGTTTGCAGCCTCACCGCCTCTGTCCCTCCCCAGCACACACCGCTGGAGTTCTGTGCTCCAGCCATCCTGGGCAGAAGACTCACCGCTCTGCGTACGCACTTTCATTTTAATATCTCAGTGCCTTTGTTAATTTTATTCTTTTTAAAATGCCGTTCCCTTCTTTACCTTGCGAATTTGCCTCAAGACACAACTCTAGCTTCTGGGAAGATTCCTGCGAGACCTCCCACATCAGAGCCAGCCGTCCCTTCTTTGGTGTTTCCGTGGAGCACTGTCCACAGTGTTAGCACAGCATCCTCTGCACTGTGGCGGACACAGGTTTTTATTTTCTGCCAGATTTTGTGAGCTCTCTGAAAGGAGTGCCCTTGTCTTGTGCATCTATGGAGCTCCCCCAACTGGCACAGAGTCAGTGTCCAGTTATTTTTTGCAGCATTGAGTTAAACTGGTTGGGAACAGTGTCCTGGGCTGTGGTTGGGTCCATTCCTGTCCCCAAGCGGTGATTGCTTATGGCACCTCCACTTACATGCAAAGTACATTCCTATTCGGTCAACCACTAGTATCCCTGAGTGCTCACTACATGCCAGGGTGCAACAGGGTGCGCTAGGCGTGGGGCGCAGAAGTGAGTGAAACGTAAGTTCCTTTTCTCATGGAGATTCTGATGAGAGGATGAAGGCAAAACCGAAAGGATTTAATATTCTAGGTAGTGGTAAGAAAAAATAAAGATAGAGGGTGACAGAGCGCCATTTTCGATACCTCTCTGAGAATGTAACATTTGAGGAGAGACCAAGTAATGTGAGGAAGAAAGACATGTAGCTATCTGGGGAAAGAAAAGCTCTAGAGAACTGGGACAGCAGGTGCAAAGGCCCTGAGGCAGCAGTTTTCCTGGGCGATCAAGATGAACATGGCTGCAATGGAGCAGTGGATGGACAGAGTGGAAGGCGGTGAGGTCCGAGACGGGAGCGGATGTTCCTCTGTCACTTCGTTTCTCTTTTGCTCCGCAGCTACTGCCTTCTTCATGAACAGTGTGCCCCTTCCTGCCAAGGATGCCTTACCTTTACCTTTGGACGCTGTCCCCCTTCTGGATCCATTCAAGCTCCTTCTGGATGCTCTGGGCATTACAGTTGAGCACCTTGTGGAAGGGCTAAGGAAGTGTGTGAATGAGCTGGGCCCAGAGGCCTCCGAGGCTGTGAAGAAACTGCTGGTAAGTACAGCTCGAGGGGTAGTTTGCCGAAGGGCAGGGCTTAGCTACCCTCAGTTACCCTCAGTGCCTGCACCACCCACTCTACTCCCACCTCCCCCCATTCTCACTTGCGATGGTGTATTTCCTCCTTACTGACGGCCCATATAAAGCTTACATGTTTGGTAATCTTAAGGGGAATGCAGTACCTACATGTTTAGTAGGAATATTTGAATAACAGAGACCTGTGGGGTTTTTTTTAAAAGAATTTTAAAAAATGTATTCATTGATTTTAGAGAGAGAAACACTGATTTGTTGTTTTACTTATTTATGCACTCATTGGTTGATTCTTGCATGTGCCCTGACTGGGGATCGAACCCACAACAGTCATGCTCTAACCCACTGAGCCACCCGGCCAGGGCAAGACCTGCGCTCTGGTTGTGACTTAGCCACTTCCCAACTCTCTGAGTCTGTATTGAACCTAACCACTCCGAGACCTTATTTTCCCATCAATACAATGGTGCTAAATAGGAGAGAAACATGCTAACTCCATGCAATCTGATTTTTATTACTGTCCTTCTGCCTTTCAGGGGGCCCTCTCACATTTGCTGTGACGGCAGGAAGCGAGAGCAGGGCGAGGATGATGGTGTCCTCCCCCTGGCTGAACCTTGTTCCATCCCAAAACATAGCGACTCCTGGAAAGAATAAATAAAGCAGTGGATAGACTTCAGCTTGGCTTATTTGTATTTCTGGGGCCTCGGTTCAGAAGGGCCTTCGCCAGATAATTTTCCCCTTGGGTCATAAACTCTAGAGAGCCTGCTGTTCTAAAGGTAATCATATTTTCAGGAGGACATGATTTCTTATCTCGAAGTTAAACATCTCTGCCTTTCTAGACTGTTCTTTCTCTGACAGTGTTCCCAGACCCCTTATGCTCCTACCTCCCTCCTTCTAAAGAAATTTTAAAACACGAAATGGAAAAGAATTTTCAAGGTATTGTTTTGATGAGTCTAGGGTCCCACAAACCTCATTGGTTTGGAGTCTACACCCCCGGAACGTGTCTCTATTAAGTTGGTGGTTATGGTAGGACCACTCCAAAGCTTCGCTGACCAAGTTAGGCCTTGACTACACCAGCCTTTGGCAAATGGGTTCTAATCTACCCTTTCCTTCCCCCAGCCCCCATGCTACTGCTTACAACGATGCCAGAATTTTCTTCTCAAGGCATAATTTTGGTTCTACACGCCCACCTATAAAATGGATTTCAAGGCCCTTTGTGGTCCGGACTTTGCTTCTATGCCTAGTTTCATCAAGAACCCTTTCTTTGCATGGGCTCCAGCCCAGCCATGCTGAAAAGATAGCCACACCTCTTTACTGTTAACACTTTTATGCTTTAATGAAAAAATCAAGATTTTTTTCCCCCACCCGGAAAGCCTGCCATGGTCTGCCTTCAGCCCTAATCTAGTGCCAGTCTTGGGTCTGTTTGCCCTCGAGTTTGTTCCCCACCCTCCCCCTACTCTGCTCGGTGTGGGGGGAGGCAGAGGGCATGGAGCTGACCCCTGCAGGATGACTTTCTTGGGTTCCCAGGTCAGCTGATTCTTGGCCTCTGTTCTGCCCCTGGGAGTCCTGGCAGGAGACAGGTGGCTGGAAAAGGGGAAGGCCAGAGTGTGCCCCTCCCCACCCGTCTCTATTTGAGAGAAGTCTCCAGAAGTGCCTGTAATGTGTCTAAGCCGCCAGGTCCTGCTAGATAGGTCTGCATGGGTTCTAGCTTTTGTCAGGTGACTCCAGCCCTGGCTCTGGATACATCACCTCTTTTCTCTTTCTTCCCAGCTGAGGTTGGTAGTGGCTTCCTCTTGTTATCTGGGTTGCCTCACCATCCCCCACTTGACTTTTTAGGTCTTCTATCATCTATTGAGTCAGTTCTGTGCCCACTAGTCCCCCCATATTCATGGTTTTTCTTTATGTGGCTTCTGTTATCCACAGTCAACCATGGTCCACAAATATTAAATAAAAAATTCCAGAAATAAATAATTTGGATTTAAATTGCACCCCATTCCGAGTAGTGTGATAAAATCTTGCCCATCTTAGTCTGTCCTACCCAGGATGTGAATCATCCTCTCTCCAGTGTCTCCGAGCTATATACACCACCCACTCGTCAGTCACTTAGGAGCCGTCTCAGTTATCAGATTGACAATCGTGACGTGACATCGCAGTGCCTGGGTTCAAGTAATCCTTATTTTACTGAACAATGGCCCCAAAGAGATTCATATAACTTTTACTAAGGTATATTATAATTGTTCCATTTAATTATTGGTTATTTCACCTACTTAATAAACGTTATCATAGGTTTGTATGCGAAGGATGAAAGACAGCATCCAGAGGGTTCAGTGCTATCTGCGGTTTCAGGCCTCCACCGAGGGCCTGAGACCGTGTCCCCCGCAGATAAGGGGGGAACCACTGTATTACGTCCCCTCTGTTCTGAGCATTACAATGGTTTCTGTTTCCTGCTTGGTTCCTGACCGAGATCATGGTAACCATCATCTCCTCTGTGAAGATTATATTAATTTCCTGCCATTTCTCTCCCCTCTCTCATGTTTTTTTTACAACTAAAAGTGTTACACTTTGTGAAACTTCTTCTTTCCTTCTTCATTTAACCCGAGTCTATAAGACTAGATGAGATTGCCCAGCTGTAGTAATAAATAACCTAAATCTCAGGGGCCTACATTCGCAGCATTTTAATTTGCTCTCACGCCACATGGCTGTCTTGGGTTGGCTATAGCTCTCCCCATGTCGTCTGAATCCTGTGACCTGGAGCTGATGAAATAGTCTTTGTCTTGAGCATTTCTGATCATCATGATGACTCAGGGAAAAAGAGAGCTTAGTGAGTCATGGGCTAACTTTTAAAGCTTCCCCTGGGCAGTGATGTATATCACTTCTAGTGCCATTTTGTTGGCCAAAACAAGTCACATGACCATGCCTGGCTTATTTAGGAGGAAGATATATAATTCCCAAATGTGGGTTACATATGTAATTTACCACATTCCTCAACTACTTCAAAGTCATTGCCACCTGAGATAACTGAAATGTCCTGCTCTGTTTGGATGATCTTTCCTTCCACTTCCAGTTTTCTTCTTACTCTTTGATCATTACATTTCCATTTCTTTAAATGGCCCTTATTATTCTGACTTCCTCTGAAGGGTGATGCCTCTGAAGATGCTAAACATAATTCCTCATCTCTTTTCACTTTATGTATAGTCTTCACTGGGAATCTGTCATTCCTATGGCTGACAATATAATCTCCATGTTAGAAACTCTAAAATTTATAGCTACAGTCTCCAGCTCCTCTTTGAGCACAAGCGTTTCCATCACCTATAAGACACCTCCGACAGATGTCTTTTTTTATATTCAACGCAACAAACCTTCACCTGGACTCATTATCTTTCCTTCAAAACATGCTCCTATGTTCTAATTTCCTATCTCAGTATATAGCATTACTATTTTCCTGGTCGCCTGAGTCAGAACCTTGGGAATTATTATAAGAACTTCCTCTTCTCAGCCTTACTATTTAATTGGTAACAAAGTCTTATTTATTATAAACGTTTTACATTTTTCTTTATCATTGCTCTTACCACAGCTCTTCCCCACACTGTGTCATTTCTGGGCAGACTACTGCATTAATCTCCTGGTAGCATCTGTATTCCCAAAACTGGTCCCTTCCAGTCCATTAACCACACAGCAGAAAAAGGGTTCTTGAAGTAGCACAAGAATCATTCCCCAGCTTCTATCTCATTGATAGTTTTTCAATGCTGATTGAAAAAAAGTCAGACATTATTTTATTTTTATTTTATTTTATTTTTAAAGATTTATCTTTATTGTTGAGAGTATTACAGGTGTCCCATTTTCCCCCCCAAGTGACCCCCTCCACTTCGCTCCCACCCCCTCCCCAGGCCTTCACCCAGTTATTGACTGTGTCCATGGGTTATGCATATATGCATGTAACTTCTTTGGTTAATCTCTTCCCACCCTCCACCCTCCTTCCCTCTTT